CCCCCCCCCCCCCCCCCCCCCCAGACTGGCTACGGGAGGGTCCGTGCTTTAAGGACTGCAGATAACTTGGGAGCACCCAGATGAACGCCCAGGCCCTTCGGGGAAAAGACTGGCATCTGTATTTTGCTCCTGGACTGCGCTGTACGTTCCTGGGCGAGCCTCAGCTAGCCCCGGCCTCTCCAGAGCCGCGCGTTGACCCAGCAGAGCAAGCTAGCCCTGCGTGTGTTTGGCAGCATGGCTGATTGTATCACGTTTCTTTGGCCAGATGCAAGCCCCCGAGCCGGTCCAGGGGAGTCAGAATCAGCGTCTTTTCCAGCCCTCTCATCTCCCGCCGCAGAACGTCATGGGCTACTTCCTCCATCCCCAGCAACAGAGCCTCCCGCCGCAGGGTCAGGCCTGCAACTTACAGGACCTGCCTGAAATGCAGCTGCCGTGAAAGCCAGGGCACGAAGAGGAGGTGATGAGTTGCAGCTGCTGAGCTGAGCAGGCATGAGGGGAAAGGCGGCGAGGGGCCTGGAGAGAAGGCCCTGTTCACGGGCCAGAGGAGAGAGGTTCGGCCCAGCGGGAAACGTGGCCGCGTCGAGGAAGATCCCCGCGGGTGCTGCGTACGGGCAGCTTGTTGATTACCATTTAGCCGTAGTCAGTCCTTGATGCTGCACAGTGACAGCATCAAAGCAAAGGCTGGATTCAGTGAAGCCACAGGACCATTTGACTCAACACAGGGCTCGAAGCCCTGTTCACGTACCGCCTGTCACCAGGGGCTAGTAAGTGCAACACGGCTTGGGAGGCGAAAATCAGAGCCGCAAGAATTGGTTGCGAACCTCCTGCCCGCCAATCAGCAAAGGCAGCGACACTTGCTGAGCAACATGGTCGACGTGGGTAGGAAAATGATCGCAGAAGACTTCCCTCCGACGTGGCTGTGGTTATTGGTCACTAAGCCATATGTCCTCGCTCCGTGCAGCATTGTAATTCCTTTGGCCTGCACGGCGAGTTTCTAGCTGCAGGCTTGTTATTAATCAGCTCAGGGCAAAGAGCACTTTGCAACTGAGCAAATATTTTCAATGCCGGACATTGTTGCTCGTTTTACATTTTGCTGAAATTCACTGTGAATTGAAGACCAGTGTTTGGAACACGAAAAACCTGTAAGAATCAGCAGAATCCTGTTTCCTTAGTGTGTACATAATTCGTTTGGTTGCAGTAGGTTCATTGTGGCTTTTGTTTTCCTTCCCATCCCCCCATACCTCAATCCTGTAATTCGTTTTTTCAGATGACTAGGTAATGCTGCTAATTTCTGGGACACCAGTCTGGCCTAACTTTCTTACTGTTGTATACCGGCTCACGTCACCGTTAATAAGATACAGGTGTCATTTGGGTTTTAAAATGGCAGATACTATGACATGCTTTTATTCCCAACATAGCCAAGTATTTTTCAGGGGGTACAGAACCGGTCCCAGGAGACCTTAATGACATGCCTTTATTCCCAACGTAGCCAAGTATTTTTCAAAGGGTACAGAACCGGTCCCAGGAGACCTTGCGGTACGTATTTCTTGACCCCTGAAAAAGCAGATGAAGGCAAACTTTGTGGTTTTGCAACTTCAATGTGGCCAAGCTGAAATTTATACTAACAATGACGCAAGTGGTATTCCAAGCCCATAGGGTTAGCAATAAATTGTATTTTTGTAAATTGTCACTTTATATGTTTATATTTATGAACTGACAAAATGTATATTCCTCAGTGGGTGTATAGTAACGTGTCCCTACTGGTTGTGTCTTTCCAAAGGAAAATGAATATTTAATTTTTAATGTTTTATTTAAGTAATTGGGTGTTAGATTTCAGGTAACGCTTGACCCCAAACGCTGAAGACATTAGGCCATTATTACAAGCTTTCTGAGGCAACACTTGGATATTTCCATAAAGGAGACAAGTGCCCAAGGCTGGCGCTTGGAACAGAGTTTAGGGAACGCTTCGTGTCTCGCCGCTCTCGCACCGTCAAGCTGCTCTGTCTAGGCCCTTTTGGGACCCCTCCTCCACCAGGATCACTGCATACCAGCTGAGTTGAAACGGACAAGGCTGAAATTGTGGTGCTAGGTCCTAGCCTGCATGGGATCTAGGCTCAGCAGCGCTCGGACAAGGTCTGGACGTCGCCATTTGTCTGCCAAACTAGCGCCCCTGTGGAAATGCTTTACTTTACGCCAGCGCCCAAAGGTTGTTCAGGCACCGGATGCTCCGAGCCTAGCGCCTCCCAGGTCCTTCCTCCCACCCTGGCTTGGCGAAACTCTGTCTAGCAACCCTGTGCCATAGGCGGATTGCCCAGGGAACCCGGGCCTTTTTCTGCCACTGGTGGCTGGTGCAATCCAGCCATGAGGCTGAGCTAGGCTGTTCCTTTGGACCTTTTAAAACCCCTTTCCAAAGAATGTAGAGATACCTGTTAGTTTCCAGCCCCGGGTGTGTTTGGGCTCTGCCCATACACGGCTAGTGGGTGCCTGCTGGCAAGACCGTCACCATGGACTCTGAGCATAGATGAGGCTGAGCATGCTCAACGCCCATTGAGTTAAGTGCGTGCATGGCTTGGGAGGGTGCAAAAATGATTAAAAGTCTGGAAAGTATGAGGGAAGGCTGAAAGGGCGAGGCTTGTTTCGTTTAGAAGAGAGACCACTGAGAGGGGAACTTAATAGCAGCTTTCAAGTACCTAAAAAGGTGTTACAAGGAGGAAGGAGAAAAATTATTCTCCTTAACGTCTGATAGAACACGCAGCAATGGGCTTAAATTGCAGCAAGGGAGGTTTAGGTTGGACATTAAGAGAAACTGTCAAGGTGGTGAAACACTGGAATAAGTTGCCTGGGGAGGTTGTGGAATCCCCATCTCTGGAGATATTTCAGCGCAGGTTGAATAGACACCTGTCAGGGATGAGCCGTGAGGGCAGGAGACTAGATTTAATGATCTCTCAAGGTCCCTTCGGCTATGTCTACGCTTGGGGCTTCTTGTGCCAGAAATATGCAAATGAGGCGAAGTTTAGCAGATCTCCGAGCCTCATTTGCATACATAATGAGCCACCATTTTTGCAGAAGAGGCTCTTGCGCCAGAAGGAGCTGGCTACACTGCCCCGTCTTGCGCAACAAAAACCCTCCTGCTCAATGCCGTTCCGCAGATTACTTTTCGGGAAGAACGGCATTGTGCAGGAGGGTTTTTGTTGCGCAAGAAGGGGCTCGTGGACAGCTCCTTCTGGGGCAAGAGCCTCTTCTGCAAAAATGGCAGCTCATTAGGTATGCAAATGAGGCTCAGCAATATTCCACACTTGGCCTCATTTGCATATTTCTGGCACAAGAAGCCAGGAGTGTAGCTATAGCCTTCCAGTCCCCGTGGTCTATCCCATTGTGGCACAGAGCAGGGGTTTCAGGCGGGGACACCGCCCCACAGAAAAATCTGTTGGCTGCCACTCACTGACTTGGTTCCTGACCAGCTAGCCAAAAAAAACCCCCAAAACCTCACGGCTCTGGCCCCGTCTCAGCAAACTCGGGGCTTCCCTCACACTCCAGGCCCTTTCCCGACTTCCTCAGATTCTCCTTGCGGGGGCTCGCTGGCACGCGGGCTGCAGTCCTGCCGCAGGACACAGAGCCTTGTCGCAGGGCTGGCGCACAAGCGCCGGCTCACCCCGCAACAGGAGGAAGCCCCACACTGGAGTCAAGCCAGCCGAGGGTCAGCTCCAGCCCGCAGCTTTCCCCCATGCCTGGCGTTGAGCAACACAAAGGGAACGTAACGGTGAGCGGCTGAGGAAGCCGCATCTACCCCTCAGCTGCACTGTGGGGCAAATGCATAGGCTGGACTGCTCAAAATAGGCCTAGTCTGTTGGCCCAGGGTGATGAGGGTTGACCGATACCAAGGATTAGGTGGTCAAAAAAAAAAAAGAGAGTTGGGCTTAATCTTGTAGGTTGTGTTTTGTATGGCCCCTCTCAGCAACCAGAGGGATGGGAATTAGATTTTTCTTTGCAGGCCCCTGGGACTGAAGTGTGTTTCGGCAGGGACCATGGCTGGAAAAATGCTGTGCAATAGCGACCCACGGCTTCCCTAAAACCTCTGCTTAGACAAACGTTGCTTGGGGCTGCCCTTGCCCTACCATTAGTGGGTTTAATGTGCTGATGCCAGCCGAGGGCAGGGGGGCGGTTCAGACTCGCTCGCTAAAATTAAGGTGGGGGCAACTGGGGTGAACTCCTGCAACTAGCCCCTTGTAATGGAAACTGCCACCACGGCCTCAACTCGGGAGTTTGGGATGGGGGAGACATTCTTACCCTAAGACATTGCGTGGCTGAGCTGCAGCCGGAGCAGTGAAAACCCAT